TCCCGCGGCTAGAGCGGCCCCGCGGGGAGCGCGGCCGCCCGCTGAGAACGACGAGCCACCCGGACCGACCTCAGGCTGGTTTGACCCACGCGCGCTGTCCTCGACGCCTAGGAAATGGGTTCAGCTAGTAGGGCGTCATTTTAAAGGGTATGGTGCATGGGAGCGTTTCCTGAGTTTTGATAACTATCCCGAGCCCCATCACCTTCGCCCACCTAACAGGAAACATTTCACAAGCGACGCGCATGAAGCCCGGTACAAGTATCCGTGTGTTCTGTGTCACCTCGGGAGAATGCGAGGATGAGGTAGAGAAAGAAATGACAGGTGGAGACAGATGGGGAGAGCTTACTAATAAGTCTTTGAAACGCACGGTGATCACTGCAATCGGTTCTTTTTTGCACTTCCCACTACATTTGCTGTCACTGAAACTTCAAAGTGCCTTTGTGTACAAGCGACGCATATCAACCTTTCTACCTGGGCCACACTGTTCTGTCTGGAGACGTCGAATACATGACTGTGGAAGGAAGAATTGTCTGAAGTGTAGAGTCGATGAAAAGACATAACGGACTTCTCCGAAACTCGAAAAACCGTGCAGAGCAAAGTGTGAATTGGAAGTTAAAGAAGATCAGCTCTGGCAGTCTGCCTGAAATACGTAGGAGTTCTTGCAGAAAATGCAGAGGATTACGAGGCAAGAGATGTATTTAATACTAAACCAATTGTTCATCTTATTCGACTGGCAATGTCTAATAACCCTCAGCGAGTGGTAGAAGGCTGCTGTCCAGATACGGCTGCTACTTCTAATGGACTGACTCCCCCAAAGAGGGAAGTGACACACTGGTTTTCTTGTCACCACATGGTTCAGAAAATGACTGAGGGCTGGGGAAGAGTAGAACTATTGCTGTCCAAGAACACTTGAAATGTGGCTAGTACAAATTAAGACGTGGTTACATACTTCACTCAATAATACATATATTATTAGAAAACTTAGTATAAACAATTGAAAATATCTCAGTAATTTTTTGTATTAACTGCATGTTGAAATGATAATATTTTGGGATATGTTGCATTAAATAAAATATAGTATCAAAATTAATTTCATCTGTTTCTTTTTCGTTTTATTAGTGTGTCTATTAGCAAATTTTAAATTACATATATGGCTCACATATTTCTACTGGACAATAAAGGTAAAGAACATGCATTGTCACTACATGTGGTAATTTTACTCCCTGTCCCCATGGCAGCATTTTTTTTTTTTTCCCTTTTTTGTCTTTTTTACTGACCGGTAATGGGATCACAACCCTCGGTGTCGCGCCCGTACCAGGGACCAGCAACGGGATCGCAACCCTCAGTGTTGCGCCCGCACCACGCTCAGCCAGTGAGTGGGAACCGGTCTCCACATGGGATCCGAACCCTCGGTGGGAGCACCTCTGCGCTCCCAAGCGGCACACTCTCCAGTGCGCCACCAGGCCGGCCCCCCATGGCAGCATTTTTAAAGGTAGTTTATTGCAGAGATCTGGATTTTGGAAGAGGTTTCAAATATCTGGATATGTAAATAGATATTTCCCAAGTGCATTCTCTGGACCTCATATTATCTTTAATCTTTGTGAAACTATTTCAAATGTGTAATGAGTATGTATTGTTTTTTAAAAACATTTTTATTGAGCTGTTTATATTATGGCACTATATAGAAGCAATTGGACAAGCATTATGACTACTGGATGTCTCTAGAATATTCCTTAAACCAAGAAGCCAACCAGCAGACACATGCCAATACCACCATTCTTCCATTACCGTCAATATGCTGACAATTGTAACCTCTACAATGTAATTACGTTCTATTTTCAGGGGAATTTTGGTACTTCTAGAGCCTTAGCCTGAATTTTGAATTATTGTTGGGGTTACTAGGAGAAACAGAAAAATTCACAAAATTTTGCTAGTGAAAAAAAAAAAGTTTCCTAAGATGACTATGCAAATATCTTGCTTGATTTCTCATTCTGAAATGTTTGGTTTCTAGTGATTACAGGAAGGGCAGAACTCTATTTGCTTCACTGTTATATACCTAATACAGGTCTTTATGCATAGTAGGTATTTAATATAAGTTATTGATGAAATGACAAATCTCTATGTCATATGTAAAGTGTTATGCATATATGAAGAATAGTATCACTATTTTTACCACTGCCGAATAATTTTTTTTCTGCTCCTACGGCATTGACTTCCTACCTTGTATTTTCCCAACTACATTGTAAGTTGCTGGAAGGCAGAATTCATGTGTAACACTCATCCTTTATATCCTCCATGATGCACACACCTTGCACATACCAGTCACTCAATAAAATTCTAAAAGCTTAGCAGCAAGCAGTAACCTTACCAAAAAGCTTATTTCCATTATAAAAAGCATTACACACACACTCACACACACATGCCTCATTTTGTAGGACGAGGCATACAAGGTTATAAATAAACAGGCTAACTTTGTTGCTAGACATGAAAATTATATGTATATGCCTTTGAATACAAGGAGTTAATCAAAAAGCACAGGTTCAAAGTCATTTTTTGTTTTTTTAATAAAAAAGATAGTCCTTGAATTTTAATATAGGGCAAATTGGAAAGAGTGCTGAATTTGGAGACAGGAAGAATCAAATTAGAACCCATATTCCACTACTTATTACCTGTATAACGATGGGTGGGTCATTAACTTCTCTGAGTCTCCATTCCTTATACATAAAATGAGATACTTATTTCACAGCATTTATGTGAAGATTAAATAGGAAAGCATCCAGCATAGTATTTAATACTTAATAGGTGTCCAGTGAATATTTATATAGAAATGTTTAAAGCAGTGTATTTCTACCATACGCATGTATTACTTTTATGAATATTTTGAGATAGGTTTTTTTAAATTTTAAGATTATAGAAAGGTTTAGTTTAAAATGAACAAACTAGATTCAAAAAATCCGAGTTCTAGTTCTTGCTATTTTCCAACAGTTTGCCACTGGGCTCTAAAATTCTTGTGTATAAAATTCTTGTGTATAATATAACCTGCTCTAACTACCTTACAGGATGTTGTAGGGATAAAAATAAGAAAACATGTAGAAGTGATGTGAAAAAGCTGCTGTTATCTCATTAATTAGAAATATGTGGTAGCTATAATTTGAATGATAAAAATAAAGGTCACAAATGTCTAAAAACAGGGGATTGTCTAAATATGTAAATAATAGCACATCTACAGTTAGATACCATACAATCACACAAATGCACATGGATGGATGAAATGATATACTTGGGATTTGCTTCAATATAACATAGGAGATGAGATGTTGGTCAGAATACAGATAAAGCAGAATTGGCTCTGAGTTGATAACCATTAAAGTTGGGTGATGTGTATATGAGGGTCCATTATAATATTCTGCTTACTCTTCTGTGATTGAAAATCTCTCTAATCAAGTTTTAAATATATATAAGAAAAGATGTAAATGACATATTTAAAGATAAATGTAAATTATATATATAGAATCATAACATGTAAATGATATACTGGGAGAAAAGGTTGCAAAGCAGTAATGAATTTTTTTGTTCATGTTTTTCCATTTAAAAAGGTTTTTATAGCAGTTTTAGTTTTACAGAGAAATTTAGCAGAAGGTACAGATCATTCCCATACCCTCGCCTCACCCACATAAACAGTTTCTCCTATTATTGACATGTTACAAGTGTGATACATTTGTTATGATTATGAATCAATATTGATATATTATTAATTTAGTAATAAACGTTTTAATCTCATTTTTGTAAAAAAAAATGCATGTCTTTTTATGGAATGATATATACTAAGGAGTTGTCAATACTTAGGTGATAGGACTGTGGATAAAGTAGTTTGTATCATACATGATGAGAAGCCAGCAAGAGTTTTATGGAATTGAAACAAGTAAGAGAATAATCAGAGATTTAAAAAAAAAAAAATGACCCTTGCATTATTAGAAACAGTAGCCAATTGTCAAACAAGGGTATTTCTGCTCATTCAGAGGGAATAGTTAGAGAATTAAGAGACAAATACCTTGTGGAATAAAAC